ACCAGCGGTTTCATGTAGATGTTGAATAGCAAGGGGGACAAAATGGACCCCTGCGGAACCCCATGGCATAGCTGCCATGGCCCAGAGCCACAGTCCCCCAGCACCACCTTCTGGAATTGGCCATTGAGATAGGAGCGGAACCACTGCAAAGCAGTGCCCCCAACCCCCAATCCCGCTAGCCTATCCAGAAGGATACCATGGTCGATGGTATCGAAAGCCGCTGGGGATCATCTGGGGATCCCTCAGACCAGGGACTCAACAACTCAGTCAAGTGATCTATAGAGGGGTGCAAGGAGGAGCAGGTTAAAACCCAGAAATTCCAGCACAGTGGAGACCACCATTGAATTGTATACTGCGCAGTGTCTCTGTAGCTGAATTCTGTTCCTGTTTCCGCCACATGCTTAGGTCTGCAGTGTGCATTAAAGGAAATGTGAAAATATTCTGGGTTTTGCACTTTCTTCTTCTCCTCCTCCTCATCATCATTGCATACATGAGGAGATTTTCTTCTGTGTGCAGCCTTGCTCCTAATCCCACTGATGTCTTGGTGAGCATCACCTAAAGGTTCATGCTAATTCACCAGCTAGGTAAGTAATATAGTGATTATAATATTACTTCTACCAGGATCACTGTGGCATTTTTAGTGCTTGTCTGAAATTTTGCTTACTCTATTAGGCATAATCCCATCATCACGTCCATTTTTAATTCCTTCCACAGCTTTTATTTCAGATGTATTTCACATGCAGTTTGTCCAGGACAAAACATAATTAGAATTCTGGCCTAGCCATGTTTATCCTCTTTCAGACTAAGAAAGCAGGATGCAGATTAAGGGAGACAATTAAGTAACACACTGGCTTTTTAGCAGGATTTGCCAGGACAGAGCAGAGGCAGTGAGGTGCAGTGGACAGATGCTGGACTAGGATCAGGGTTCAGATCCTACATGAGACAATTGTTATTTTCAGCCTGGTCCACCTAACAGGATTGTGTGCTGATAAAACAGGAGACGCAGGATGCATGTGCACTAACTGATGCTCTGTGAAAGAAAGGGAGACTGAAAATGTAATTAATAAGTACATCTATCCAGCAGACATATTTCTCCTGAAAATAGAAGTGGCATCTTTCTTCCAGTAGTTGCTTCACCTTACAGAATCTTTCAAAGTAGGAGAACAGAAAAAGCAAACTGTAGCAGTGGCAACCCTGGCAAAACAGAAGATTTAGCCTGTAAGTTTAAAAGGGGAATTCTTTTTTTTTAAAGTTTGCCTGGAAACGGAAAAATAATTAGGTGGGCCCCAGTGAAACCAACCTGAACACCCTGGTCATGCATTCAAGTGCTTCTAGAGGTACTAAGGAACCTGCCTGAGGAAAGGTCAGTCTGTTTGTCCAACTAGCCTCACCTAACTTTGTGTTCTCCAGGTATTTTGGACTTCAGTTCCCACTGGCCTACCAGCTCAACCAATGGGAGCTGAAGCTGAAAACGGAAATATTGATCTAGACCAGTGGGGTCTGCTCTGACTGGAACAGGTTCTCCTGGGGCCTGAGCAGAGAAGGTCTTTTCCATGAGCTGCTAACAGATCATTTTGCTGGAGCTGCCAGGGGCTGAACTGGGACCTTCTGCATGACATGCATGCATTTATTTACTGAATTTATATCCTGCCTCATTAGACATGAAAGGCTCCCAGAACAGGTTACAAGATGGTAGAATATACAATTTAAAAAGGTAATATTAAAATAAACAAATGATACAACAGCAAAATCCAGCAATCAAATAACCAAGCACCATTATAAAACTTCACGAAAACCACTAAAATTGTCTTAACAATTAAAATATCAGGTGGATAAATGGTCTTTGCTTGGTGCCAAAAAGAATGAAGAGAAGGCGTCAAGCAAACCTCACTGGGGAGCTGATTCCAGAGTTGGGGTGCCACTGCTGAGGAAGCCCAAATGCTCTGCCACTCAGCTATGACCTCAACATTGAAATCTGAGAGTATGGGCAGGTTCCAGAGCTACAGAACGGCAGTTGCCCTGTTAGAGATGCTCGCTGGGATGGTTCATCTTCCAAAGCATCTCTGATGGGCATCAAGACCGGGGGGGGGGGGGAGCAGCATATGGACCCCCAAGGCCCTGAGTGTAAACCCCGCCTCCAACTGCAGCTCCAATACTGCTGAAAATTGGTAGTTCAGAGGTAAAAATCAGCTGATGAAATTTGATGACAAAGTGCTATGGAAGCTCAGAAGTGCCCAATTTAGCTCATTTTCGGGTAATTCTGAGTCTTTGCAGTAGTTTGTCACTATTTTTTTTGTCTCTGTAGGTGGTACAGTGAGAAGTGTGGAACCACTGGAAAAGTCTGGGGCTGAAAACTGGCCTTTGGACCACCTAAGATTGCTCACCCTGATCAAAACAGTTCATTATTCTTGGTTTTAACTACTGGTATTTCCAAGCAAAAGATCCGGCCAGAAGGCCTTGCATGGTGATTCCATTGTTTCTCCTTAACCAATTCTGCACAATAAGAAAGACGGAAGTAGTAGTGTGAAAACATAGGGTTAAAAGAAGATTACATCTGAAACCCTTGTGAAAGTCTATGAATGAGGCCGGGTGATGCATTGATAAAACGCTTTATCTGGAAGCATCCCACATATCATACTTTTTCCAGGATATGGTCAAATGAATAAACTGTGATGTCAACAAAGCTTGCAGCATGCACAAGACTGGTCATCATGTTTAAACTTTACTAGGTGGTGGGATCAGCATGCAACCACCATCTTAATACAGTCACACGTATTGCCCTGGATTCTTACAGACACTTTCAGATACAACTTAGTTCCTCAAGTCCTGAAACAGGACGCTAAAATTGGCTTACAGCATCTGAGGTTGCTGAAAAATATTACCCCTCTCTGCATCAGGGTCGGAAATCATCCATAAAAATAGCTGCACGGTTTTCTCCCTGGGTAGGCAGATTTAAGCGGGGCCAAGTCCAAAGTTCCTTTTTGAAAGGCTTGTTAAATAAGCACATTTGTAAAAAGATTCCTTATGATAAAAACACAAAACCAACCATTTCTTTTCAAGAGTCAAAACAAAAACACACCTCCCTAACCTCTTTTCTGCAATACCAGTGTCAGTATTATGGGCTTGTTGATACAATCAAGAATAAAGAAATACAGCTTTCTGAGGACTGTGCCATCTCAAGGGGCACACTGGTGTGTGTGTATGTCTGAATGTGCCTCCATGAAAAATACTGTGTCATAGATAAGATTGCCTCTAATCTGCTATTTTGGTAACTTAGTCACAGCAACCCCACCAACCCAATTTAGTCTGGAGTAGTACAATCTAGAAAAAGCTTTATCAGAGAAAGACCTTTGACTGATTCTGCTGATTGCATATCCCAGCCTAGGAAGAAAGCAAGTAATTACATGGGAAGCTAAGCCAAAAATCTCAAGAGCTTGTTTTGAACTACTTCAAGATATCAAATAACAGTAGCCCCAGACTTCAATGTCAAGAGCATCTTGACATAGATCTTGGCTTTGAATAGTTCAAAGCAGGACAAATCTGAATACCTCTTTTTTCTGTAAGGACATGGCATAGTGCTTTGGAAATGCAAAAAGACTGTCTCTTAGCCACGGGAAGAATGTCCAACAAGGAGAGATGGGTGTCAAGTTATATTTAATTCATATATTATTTTGAACATGAAACATC